AGTTGATTTTTCCATTCTTTTTCTTCAACTTCACCCGCCATTCTTCCCACTAAAAAGTGCTCGTTGGACAGATCGAGCAGCAGTTCTCACACACAGGCTTAGGACACAAAAGTATATCATGAGCAGCTCTGTATTGCAAGGATTTGTCAGTGACTCTTAAAGAAAGCAAATGATTTCTTTTAATAAATTATAGAAGATTGAAGTTTCTTCCTAAATAATGCCCCCATCCCACTCACTTAATCCCCCTTGTTCTTCCAGTGGGAGGGGAGGGCATTGAGTTACAGCATATTCCTTGCTTCTGCCTCTCAAAGGCACGTGGGCTTACATGAAAATCATCAATCATTTGGGTTCTGGTAGAGAAAGCCTAGGAAGTGCTGTGACAAGGAGGAACTGAACATCTCTTTGACCTCTGGTTCATGTTCATCAATCCTCCAGCCCAGGTACTTGACACTGTGGTCATCACAACTGCTCTTCACCTTTGCATGGTCTCCTGATGGCCTTTAGTTAAAATCTCATGTACCATATTTTTAAAATTTCATGGTAAGCATACTTAAGATGTTTTTATAAAAATAACCCTTAACTGATTCCTTAATAAACCAACTTAACTGTGCTTAATACACTAATGTGCATCCATTAGTCCTGTTTGAGCTCACTGGTAAGTCAACACAATTAAATTCAAGTCCAAGACCAATAAACACCTACTATGTTTCCAGTACAAGACAACAAAGGTAAGAAGAAATGCTTCTATTCTAGGCAAACAAGACAAGTGTCACAACCCTGCCCTGAGGACATTCACAAGCCATTCTCCATTGAACCCAGTGCAATGCTCTTGAGCTCATCATCTTCCTTTCCCTCCTTCTTGAAAAACTGAGACCAATCTTTCCTCAACTGTTGTTAATATATGACTTTCAATGAGAGTCTGCTTTTTCCTTTATTCTTCTATCTATGTACCTACACACAGCTGACCCTCTGCAGTTAGTGTGTACATCTATGGATTTTTCTCTTTATTTCGAATGCTCTTGAAGAAGCTCAGCATACATTGAGTATCTGTGATGTGCAAATCCCTATGCTGAATTCCGAGGAAGACCACTGACTAGATAAGGCTTAGTTCCTTCCTTCAAGATGTTCATGCTCCAGTGCAGAGTATAACTATCCAGAAGGCAGGGTGGAATATAGATGAGGTAAGAATGACCTGCTGTGGCGAGTGCAGGTTAGAGGACTACAGCCACCCCAATCCTAGATAAAAAGTCTTGCCAGTGCTTTGGTCTTTTCATTACTGAGCCTTTCCCCCACTCAATACCCTGCCCAATGAAGGAGTATGTCTTCCATCCTTCCATAAAAAGCAGATGTTTGGCACTCAGGGTCTATTATCTGACCTAATTAGTCAAATTTTTCAGGCCCTTTTTGTTTAATGAAGAAGAGTGACATACTGAGATGGTAAAAATAGGGAAATCTCATGTGATCCTAGTTATTTCTATATATATGTCAATAACATATCATTTTGTCATGGTTAGCTAAAGAATTTCATTATTGCATGTATGTGGTTGTAAACTGTACTCCTGAGATAGATCCTAGGAGTGTTCTAACAAAATCGAATTCCTTTTGTCCTCCAGAAATGAGCTGCATCAGTAATAAAGTGAAATTTTAAAAATATATTTTCATAACAGCTTCCTCAAACAGTTATATTATGAAAAGGCAAATACAGGCTTGTTTTTCTTTAAGTCAATATGGTTTTTCAGTTAGATATTCGGTTGAAAGTTTCTCTAAGAAAAAAATAATAGTATATTCAAATAAAACTCAAGAGGTCACATGCAAAATGAGGGGTCGTAAAATACTGGTACATTTGCCTTTTGGATCCTTGTTTTCAGAATCTCAAGAGGAGGCTTTTCTCAGAGTTGACTCAAAATGCACAGTATCAGTCACTATGAGAAGCACGTTTTTATGCCCTGCAGTGAATTGTTTTTGTGTTTTCCTACAAATACTAAATATCACCTGATACAGAAACTATAAAAAGAAAAAAACTCAAGATTAAGGAAGCTAAAATTCCAGTTCCCTCTTTCCTCCTTTATCCATATCAAGTTCTACAGTAATAAGGAGGATGCTTACGTTCCTTTTTAAGAAGTGTTCTTTTTAAATATGTGAACATATACACTCCCAACCATTGAGAATTTGCCCTGTCAAAAGTCTGAGAAAATGCTCAATTTTGAACAAAAAGTTATTACAAGCAACAGCCCCATCAAAGAAGAAAAATTCTTCCAACACACTTTGAACCTTAAACAGTGTTTTCATAGGTTACTTCATTGTTTGTCTTCTCGATGAAAAATTTGAAACGATAACTGTTATGATGAGTTCTACAGAAAAAGATCATTTCCATGATTTCATTTCTTGACAAAGAACAGCTACCTCATTTGGCTTCTGCCACACGTAAGCAAACTCCCAGACCTGAAACCTTCCCCTCAGAAGAAGCAGTAGAGGACCACAAAACTAAGGAGTTCTGTCCCACCCCCAAACCCCAGGGACAGCTCCTGCCCCTCTCACCCCTTGCCTGGAGAGGTGACGGGCCACAGGGGCAAGGTGTGGACTGGCTGCAAGGGCGAGGTGTGGGGGGACGGGCACACATGTCACCTCTCTGGGCGGCTTCTACCCCATCACCACTTGATCTGGATTGTCTCTGTAAAAATTAAAAAAACCACGACAAGCCTGTCTTTTATAATGTTCTGTTTTAAAAGAGAGAAATCTCCCAAGAGAGAACAGGACCCTAAAAGTCCAAGGCCTGGAATTCCTCGTCTCTCTCTTTCCATTTTAAACAGGAAACACTCACGCTAAGAAGGTCCAGAGGGAGCATTGGTTGTATGTTCATTTTAAAGCAGATAATGTTTGTGTGTTGCAAATGTCAGTGATTTATCCCAAGGGCTTAAAATGAGTGTAGAAAAACCACATGTTTCACTTCATGCAGAGAAATATCTTCAGTAGATTTGGGGAGAAAGCACCGGTTAAGGATTGTTTTGTGTGTTTCGGAAATCTCTAACATGAACTGAAAGGAAATAAAAAGGTGGGAGGGCTAAAAATTTTTACGATAAAAGATATCATGACTGCTGGAAGTTTTCTAAATCAAAACTAAAATTTAAAGGAAAGGGTAGGTGAAACCTCGATCTTTTACTTCCCAGGCTGGAGGGACAGATTATGTATTTGTGCTCTATTTGTCACGGGCAATTTAAAATAGAGCAAAGCACACAGTGCTGAATAATGATGCTTGATGCCATAATAACTTGTACATAAACAATTTAATTTTTTTATCTGAAAGCTCTCACTAACCAAATTACCCCAAGCTCAAGGATCTATCTTTCATTATTATGCATAGCCAAATTAAGACATAAAATGTAAAGAGAAAATTCTATTGTTCATCCATATAAATGTGTTATATGCTGCTTTCCACATGCACCCCCGCTTGGAGCTTGTCAAACCTTCATTGATTGGGGGGAGCTTACAGAGCTGTTTTAACATCAAACTCTGCAGATTACAGGGTGATTTTGACCCTCATTGACAGTGCTTGATTAACCACAGACACTCTATTCTTACAGCCCTGTCATTTCTTTCAAGTGTTCTACCAGTTTGTACTCTGACATTGGAGAGCTTTTCATTAATTATTATTGTTGCTGTTTTTCTTTTAAAAAATAATCAAAGGGGGAGTGGTAAAAAGTGGTAATGATCTGAGGGTGGTGGTTGTGAATATATGCACAGAAGGTTTATGGGATTTTAAGAGCTGCAAACAGAACTCATGTGCTTAACCCCAGGCTAGATAAGACATGGTCATCTGTACAATGTTTAGAGACGTATTGCTTCTGTTATGGCAAGTGGATCAGAAGATGCCTGCTGTCTCCATAGAGAGATCGAGACAGGGTAACTCTTTGTTAGTGCTTATGATTGCCAGGGGCTTCTCTGTGTGCCTACTGGTCACACAGGGGAACACACAGGGGATTGGGCTTCTCTCACACTGCTACCGATCTGGGGGTACTTCTCGACGCTGTGGTAGATTTTCTTTACATAAAAATTCTGGATGGCTTATTCCTAGCTCTGGGTTGGGGCTCTTGTTAGGAACTGTAGAGAAGGGAGAGCAAAATAATCCACACAGAGATGTGACAGAGGCCATTCAGAGTGACACCAAGACCATGACCCATGTAAAGGGCAGGCCACAGACATAGAGAAGTGCGTGCAAGTTGTAGGAAACTTTGTCACCCAGAATAACCTGTACATTTCTACCATGATATGGGGGACAGCCCTCAATGAGACAGAGAAAGGGGAGGGGTCAAATAATCCCAGCTAATTTAGCTACTGTCATCTAAGCCAACTGAAGAGGGTATAAACAAGACAGAAATGTATTTCTGTCTCATGACCTGATCTAAGGCTGAACAGTCCTGACTGACATGCTGGCTCCGTGGTATCAAGATCTCAGGATTTTTTCTTCTGTTTGCTCTACCTTTTCTAGCATATGATATTCTAAGATACAATTTGCTATAAAGTGATTGTTCTAGTGACAAACAAGAAGGACTAAAGAGTTTCCCGCCCCCCCCTCTCTCTTTGAGGATTTTATTTATTTATGCTTACAGAACTGTGGTACAAGCCAGAGGTGTGGTGGGTGTGAGGATTCACCAGAGACAGAGGGGAGAGCAGAACAGGTAGATTGAGGAAGTACACGGGTACTGAGGGAAGCAGCGGGTGTGACCGGAGAGGTCAGCCACATCATGTGGGTCAGCCCCCTGGCCAAGGATCGAACTCGTGCTGCAGTGGCTTCGGAAAGCGTCATAATGCAGTGCTTTAACCTGTTGCACCACCAGGGAGAGCCAAGTTTCCCACGCTTTTTAAGGGTACATATCACTTCTGCTCACACCCCACTGGCCAGACCTAGGCTATACCCACACATCATGGAGGCTGAGGAATGTGGTTTAGTGCTGAGCCAACAGCGGAGTGGCCACTGATGTTTTCTGTCCTTCTCTTCCCAGGGGAGGCCCCATGGAGTCCGTAGACTACCTGGCAGCAGCACCTCGAGGACTCTACAAGGAACGGGAGCTTCCCTATCATCCAGGCGCTCATTCTATGCATCTTCCCAAGGGGAGCTATCCCCGCCCCCCAGATTTGAGGGTCTCAGATCTCCGGTATCCCCAGTACTACCCTCCTCCACCAGCCCCCCAACACAAAGGACCCTTCCGTCAAGATGTTCCACCTTCCCCTCCTCAGCACCACAGAGTACCAGCCTATCAAGAAATGGGCAGACCAGGGCCTCGAGGGGGTAGCCCAGACCGGTACCTCTACCGAGCCCAGGACCCCAGGCAGAAGAATCCCATGACCGCAGCTGTATAGCTAAACACCGCCGAGCTCCACAGGTTTCAGCAAGGACACTACCTAGCATCACCTTTGCCCATTCTGGACCATAGGACCATCTTCCTGTAAGAATCCTCTGTGGTACAACTTAGGATGTCCTCCCAAGGATACAGCATTTCACCACTAGTCAGAGAGAAATGAAAGGGACTGGGGTTTGGGACTGAGGAGGGGTGGAATCAGAAGGAAAAAGAATCTGGTCATCAAAACAGCCTGATATCTGATATAAGTTTAGAATTGGTCCATTCAGTGAGTGGCAGTTGAAAAGGCAAATGACAATAGAATTCTGCCCCAGACGCCTTCTGGCTCCATCACCCCGCACACCCCATGCCACACACCACACAGAAGGGCAGCACCAGATGCCTTCTGGCTCCATCACCCCGCACACCCCATGCCACACACCACACAGAAGGGCAGCACCAGATGCCTTCTGGCTCCATCACCCCGCACACCCTAAGCCACACACCACACGGAAGGGCAGCCAATGGTCTCTGCCCCATCATCGTCCACTCTAAGGCTGAGCTGCTGCCACCTTTTGAGTTTTTAAGTCTGAAAAGTGTCAGCAAACAGGGGCATCTTAAGTGAGTCATTTTTCCACTGAGAAAAAGAAAAAACAACAGCAAACATGACTAGTGATCGCTTTGCACTGTCTTGCACCCAGAGGAAGATGACATGTCTTTATTTATAAAATTTCTCAGATTCCCAGTATCTCTGATTTGATATATGCATTTCCCATATTTCCTCCATTTTTATATAAAAGCAAGAAGCAAATGCAGTATGGCAGTATTAGCAACCTGGGAGAACATGCAACGCTAGTCAGCTTCCAGCAGAAATCTGTTCCAAGGGCCAACGTGATCAGGTGAAGAGTGCTAAACTCCCCGAGTCCTCCTCACCTTCCTCCCTCTACGTTCAGCCCGACGAAAGCTTGGCAAACCTGGTTTCAGAGACATCTCCACGTCTGCCTGCAATTGCTGTAACTGCGGGCTTGACTTTAGGTTCCCAGTGGAGGGTTAAATGTCATTGGGGAAAAAGAAGGCCCACTGAGGAGGTCACACAGAAGTTGTGCTCCCCAGATGACAGATCCAGACTCAGTGCCAAGCATTGCCATCCACATCTGGGGGTGGGGGAGGGGCTAACTGTGTCCTCTGGAGACTGATCACCAGCAGGTTGTAGAAGGCAGAGGTCGTGTGTGTGTGTGTGTGTATGTGTGTGTACACCTGATTACCAGTAGGGGGAATGGAAGATGAAAAGCTTTCTGAAAAGTTGAGGAGAGATGAATAAAACAAGATGGGGAAGGAAGAAAAAAGAGACATGAAACTAACTCAGGCTTCATCTGCTGTATTTAAGAAAAGGCGGGACATTACTAATGGCCAGGTCTCCAGTTGAGCAGATGTCAGGGCTCTGAAAAGTTAAAAGCCTGAGCTTTGCAGTTGTTTTGTTGTTTTTTTCTTAACAGAACTTCTAAATTTTATAATCTGACCTAAATAAGAATACAAAACAAAAATCCAGCAGACACCAAATCTGGGAGCTGCAGTTTGAGTCATTCAGTGACCCTCAGAATAATTTAAATATTTTCAGATTTGTGCTTTCATCCCTCCCCCTCAAAAAAAGAAAAATTTTTTGATTCAAAGTAGGCATATTTTAACTGAGATTAGAATGACCTGTTTGTCAAGATTTAAGAAATTATAGTATGATTGAATGTATAGTGTCCATGCAATATCCAGCTTTGTCTTATTTTTTAATTTAAAATGGAGTTCTGTCACCAAGAATGAAGCACCTGCTGGTTTTAAACTTAAATCATGTTATTTGCTGGACTTTAAGAGTATTATTTTCTCAGACTACAATTTACTTATGACCCTCTTGAAAATCAACTGTCAAGTTGGTTTTTGTCCTGTCATCTCTAAAGCCAGACACCTTTAGCCTGTTTGCAATATGTGTAAGAAATTGAGAATGCCTAGCCCTGCTTACCCAAAGGTGGTATTCAAGTGAGCTGTAGGGGTTCCTGGCCAACATGCCGAATGTCGTCTTCCCCTCAAACTGAAGAATCTTCAAGAAGAAAGCCATCTAGTGAGGGAAACTTAACTTCTTTTGAAGCATTAAAAATCAGCTCTTCGGTATGAAACAGAGTTTAACAAGTTTCTGTGGACTACTTGACACAGCCAAGTCAGAAGTTCCTTCTGGATGAAGGCCAAGGCCACACAGGGACAGCAGGAACCCACGGGAGTGAGATGTGTTGCGTGTGGGAAAGTAGCCCCTTAGGAAGGATGCCTCTGTCGTCACCACCCCAGCCACCTCGAGAGCACAACACCTCCACACGCGAGCTGGGGACCAGCTTCTGAAGTGTGATTTTGTATTGTACACTAGTCAGTGAAACAGGGCTAATCCTGGGGGCAGCCCATACTGTGACAGTATTGCTAATGGAGGCAGAAAATAGGTGGTAGCAGAGTGCTTTTGTTGCTTTAAGTATAACCCATGCCCCCTTTGACCCTGTCCAAAAGAAACGAACCCGAGACATGAGACATGGCTCCACCAAGCCCAACAATGATTAAGACTAGCTCACATGTAAGCTCTAGAAATGCCTGCGTATCAGCCCTCCACTCGTCACCACCCAGAGGTTACAGATCACTTGGCCGTATTTTAGGAGAACAAGTGGTTTAGAGTAGTTAGAGGACCAGGAAATATCAGTAGGTGCCCAATAGCAGGAAATAAGTTCCCAGTTCATTTGTGACTTTCAAAAACCTCAATCAGGTGTCCCCCTTTAGCTCAGTGCACTAATTGTCCCACAGAAATAGTGGAACAGTAAGCTGAAGAGTTTTCAGCAGTGCAGAAGGCTAACTGACCTGACCCGACATGGCCAAGCCATCAGAGAGACCTTATAATGATGCTTAGGCTGCAAGTCACTGGATACTTTAAGGAGCTCAGTTTCATGCCTTTCTGCAGGATTACAGAGCTGAAAGGGTGGAGACCACCTGAAACTTTTACATGCAAGGGAACTCAGCTCTGCAAGGGAGAGAAGCCCAACCTGACCTCCTTGTCTTTGACATTGTGCTCTAGCAATATCACTGCTTCCCTACAATGGCAATGAAAAGCAACTCAATGGAATCTTTCCTTAATTTGTGATTGATGAGCTGACAAAAATGGGAAAAAAAACCTACAGTGAAATTCATTATTCTTAGTTTTTAGATCTACATACATTGACACCCACAGGAACATATGGAGCAAAGATCTTATAATAAGAGCATGCTGAGATCCACAGACCCCTGCTAGAGATTTGAGACTTCATTGTAGCTTTGTTTTTGCCACCAACAAAGTAAAATTAAAAGATGATTCATTAATCCAGATTCTTGAGCTTCCTGAGTTAAACCAATCTTCTGAAGGAAATAGAGCTGACAGCTTTAGGACTTGTCAGGCACGGAGCTGGTATGCAGAGATCAAACCTTTAAAGCATGTTTATTCTGCTGAACTGTAGCCATAACATTCATTTTCTTTGGAAAAACATCTTAGCATTTCCAGAGAGCTAGAGCGCTCAGAAAAGTTTGGTATGAATAAGCACGTGTGACTGTACAGTCCCCTTTGACATTAAACTCTGAAATCCACAATGAATGCACTTCAAATTGGTGCTAAATTAGTTAGACACCCTACTGCTTCCTGAGTCCAGGAGCAACAGAAAGTCCAGATTTAGTGCAATTAGGCAGGAGGGAGCTGGATTTGGTAGTATTTCTCTGCACTCCCAAATCAGTGCCCACTTAGGTGGAAATGATGCTACAATGAGGCCAGAAAGAGGAGTCTCCATGAGCTGTCCCTACAAAGTCAGTGGGCTGATAAAAAGGCAGATGAGAGTCAGATATCTAAAATAAGACTGAACCTCATATGCAGCTACCACTTCTAAGTGAAACTCTTTCTCCTCCATGTCATTAAACAGAAATAGACTCACACACTCGGCCCCACTTTTAAGGCAGGCTTAACTACCAACCCTGCGTGGGGAATGAACTAACCTAAAGGTTGTCTCTTGACTGGGCTCTTAGAGTGTTCTGTTCCATCTAAGCCGACGGCAGTGTTACTTACTCCTGACACATAAAATCAGAACCTGATGTTTATATGGTCACTATTTCTAGTGTGTGCAGTGCTTTTGTGATATCGACTCTGCTCTTAAGTTCTGAAGATAAATTATGAGAAATCCTATTTTGGCATATAAGGATGAACTTTTTAAAATGATCCCATTTGTACCACAGAAAACATTTTGGATGTTGTTATATATGAATATATAAATTTTTCTGGTTTTATTTTTCATTGAAATAAAGCTTTATTCAGTAAGATACCAGAGTCTTGCTTTCCACCCACCGCTGGTTTGTTTTAAGATTTGATGAAGGAAGAGGTTGACCTGGCCCAGCTCACCCTTGAATAGCAATGTCGAGGGCCGAGGACACGCGGGATTCCCGAGAACCAGCTGCTAAGACACAGCTGAGCTGCAGGATGCTTATCTGGACATACGTGAATTTAGCACCTGCAGACGACAGAGGAAAGAAACAGGCCGGGCAGGAGACACTGCTATGCGTACTTAGGTCTCAGCCAACACCATGGGGAAACTGCACTACAGTAGCCCTTCAGTTGCGGTAAGGGAGCTGGGCCCTTAGGCTTCTGCTCAGGGATGGGAGCCACCCTGGAAGGAGACACCCAGGCAGTTCCTTCAGGAGAGGCAAGATCCCAAAGGGCTGAGTGCTGGAGCCAGGAGGTCTTTATAATAGCTAGAAAAATAGCCCTTCACTCCTAGCAGGATCTGAGCAGTGGCCAATTCTCAGCTCCTTCATCCTGGAGACTCTTTTTTTTTTAATGATTTATTTATTTATTCATACAGAATTGGGGTACAAGCCAGAGGTACAGGGGCAGTGAGAGGCTTCACCAGAGACAGAGTGGGGAGAAGAACAGGCAGATCGACGAAGTGCACTGTTGAGGGGAGCAGCGGGCGGGTCAGGAGAGGTCTGCCTCGCCATGTGGTCACCTCTGGGGCCGGGGATCCAACTCGCACTGAAGTGGCTGCAGCCAGCTTGCAGTGCTGCGTCCTAACCTGTTGCGCCACCAGGGAGGGCCTCTGGAGACTTTCTTACCTGTTCTAGGAAACACGATTCTCCCTTCTCCTTAGAACTATGCCTGTGTTTCCCAGAACCCTTTATTGGCTTGCTCTCAGACTCTCTTCCAAGGTCGCCCAAAACCAGCACTTCAGCTACCATCTCTGGACTGAGCTGCCCACAATCTCTGGCTCAGACCTGTCCCTGCACGTGTTTATTTCCAGCTTCTGCATCCCCACCTGGGCTTCCATAGGCCCTTTGAACTCTACATGTCCAAACTGAAAACAAGTTTTCTCTAAGGAAACCTGATTCTGTGACTCCACTTGGCCACCAGCACCCCATGTTCACCGTTAGAAATCAGGAATTCATCATCACCTTCCCACCTGTAGCTCTTCTCCCTGCCCTACACACCCCCATCTGAAGTGACGGCAGGCCAGCCATTCAGCTGTGTTCACACTGCCTGAGACTCGGCCGTGCCTTGAGTAAGCCTCGTCAGTTCCCACCCAGTGTCTTTGTTAACCTTCATTTGATCACGTATCTCTGGGCCTGCTTTCTTCTAACCCATCTCTATACACACACTCACCACCTGCTGTGGTAAACAAAATGTTATTGGAACACATATACACTGATTCATTTATCATAGTCTAGAATATAAAGGTATATATTGCCTAACATTCCTTCTTGCTGTAATATCAACCTCTCCCTCTATCCAGCTGGAGGAATTTCCTGAAATGGAAATCTGACCATTTTACTCTAGTTGAGGCAACATTGTCTTGTTGAGAGGCAAAGTCTTTGAAAAAAGTCAAGCTTGGATCTAAAACGAGGTTTGACCACTAATTAGTTGTGTAATCTCAGAGAAAGTACCTATCTCTCTAGGCCTCAATATCAGCACTTGTGAGGTGAAAAACTATCTTGTGTTGAAAATGAACTCACATGACATTTATAGGCATTCTGGAGTCAGAACTCCAAGAACTTGCTTCCAAGAGCCAAATGTCCACATCTCTTCCCAGCTCCATGCTCAGCGATATCATGTTGGTGATTTGACATAGGTTGGAAGCATTTAGAATACAGACATTGATGTACCCTACAAATCAGCACCTTTTTTCCTCTGGAGAGCCAGTTGTTAAAATCTATCAACAATCCGCTGCATCTAACACACTTGCTCATCAGTCAAAGAAAATGAACCCTTACTCCCAGCCACAACTTCACATGATACATCCACGCACTCATTCCTTAAGCCTTTCAGCCGCTCCCTATGTATAAACCCTACCTAAGCAAGCCCCTGTGCCTCTCTCTACTTGTGCTGTGCTATTCCTGGGTTTACATCTTGTGCTACTGTTATTTCAAATGGCTTGTATTTATTTGAATCAGGCATGCATTTCACAGCTCTATACCACGGCGGTAAGCAATAAGCTTAGCCGACCCTGCCCAAAATGCCTTTGGCCCACTTGGTTTGATCTGTAGCTCCGCAATCATTCCTAAAGTCCCAGATTAACTGAATCCTTTTCCATTAAGACTTAAAGGCAGAAATGGAGCATTTACTTTACATCCATCCTACCCTCCAGTAGCAGGGTTTCCTGCAGGCTGGGGAGCAGATGCTGGAGAACACTTTTCCCCCAGGTTGTTCACAGCTGTGCTTCCACAAAAGGCCAATTTCTACCTATCAGACCAGACACTCTAGAAGACAGAACTGAGGCCCAGGCAACCTCAGAGTAACCAACATAGGTGTTTCCTGTTACTCTAGAAGTAGCCAGGCTCTAGCTGCCTGGGGGACAAGAGGCTGTGTGAGGGTCACAGCTCACACAACTGGCTCTGTTGCCAACATTTGGGGCATTTTTTTCCTGATTATCACAAGGTAGCCTCTTCCTCGAAGGAAGGGTGTCATATGCTGAGGTTGATTCTTGCAAGGCCTGCCTGGAGCCTGCTCCTCCAGCAGATACTTAACTCCCCAAACTAACTCCCTTTCTGTTTAAACTAGCTGGAAGGGACTCAGTTATCTGCAACTAAACCCACGCTCGCCTCCCTTGTGGCAGCCCTCCTGAGGCAGAGTGGGAAACTCCATCCTGTATGTTACTGAGATACTTTCTGCAGACCCTCCATAAAACTTTTATTACCTCTATTACAATGATTAGTCTCCAGAACTGTGTGGTCTTCTAGGCAGTGTCAAGTTTGGATCCAACTCAGGGCTCAAGAAATATACATTGAATCCATGAAGCAATGAGGTGTGAGTATTCCTTTTCTGAATTGCTGCATTGCTGACGTCCCACCTCTCCATGCAAACCATAAATCTCCAAGTTCTGTTGTTAAAGATCACCTGGTATTATTCCTGAGGTGAAAGGTGTTAGCTCACATGGGCATGCTGGATTCTAATTTAAAACATGAAGCAAGCTTAGAGGTTGTAAATGCAATGGGTAATGCATTATTTAGAGAGCAAATACAGACTTAAAAGAAAATGTGTTACCTACAGCCCACGAAGATGGAAATACTTTTAGTGACAGATGATTACTATTATTATTGTATAACTCCTTGGATTTTAGGCAAGTGCTTTGCAATCACTTGTATGACTTGTTCCTTTCAACAACTGTAGGTGGGAGAGGTGGATGGTTCCCTGACTTTCTGGAAACTGAGTCCTGCATACAATGGTATGAAAATAAAGATTTAATGAACGCTATGTAGGCATAGCCAAAAGAGCTAGAGATTATTTTGTAAGGATCCTGACAACTGAGATTTCTTTTCTGTGGCCATGTTTGCTCCCTCTAATTATTGTTTACAATACATGCTGAATGTTTCAAGATCACAATATTTTTTTGTTTCTCATGTAGTTTCAAGGAGCATTAAGCCCATACTTATTTTACAGCTGAAGAAACTGAGGCATGGACCAGGTTAGTTGGGCCACACAGGGCCAGAGAAAGCTGAACTTCCTGGACTCATTTGTGCTTTTTGAGAATTTGCTCTGTTCCTAACACAGTAAGTTAGCTCTGGAGCTGGCTCTGAGCTTTGCAATATGATCTGGGGACATCATACCTATGTTTCCTAATCACAGGATGCCCCAAAGTCATCAGTTGTGGTTTAAGATGGCCCAAGTCTTCCAGAAGAGGAGGAGAGAGGCTTCAGTAATAAACACCTAAGATTCAACTTGAGCCTTTATTTAATTAGTCACCATCCCCATACAAGCTCAAAGATCTATGTTTGTAGCATAATAATGAATGTGTAACACCATTTAAAAAAAAATTGTGTCATGGACCTTAACAGCCCTTGTCCTTGTAGGTCTTCCTGCAACAGTCCATCTAAGAAGCACAGAAACAAAATGAGATCCAGTTGTACCCAACAGCCTCTTCATATAGGACACAGTAAAATGCTGCAGAAGCTCCCAAACACGGGTGAACCTTGAATTCTGCCCTTGGGAACTAAGAGTTGAGCAAGAGAGGAAAACAGATAGACAAAGAACCAAACTCATGACTGAACTGGTAAGTTCTAGATGGAGTTGCTAGGGAAACCTGACTTTGGACTTCGGGTGTCAAAGGGGTCAGGGAGGTCTTAGGAAAGACGTAACATCTGAAATAGCGTTAAAGGGTGGGAACAATGTAAACAGGTCAAATAGAGAAGTTTATTGACTTTCCAGATAAAGAACAGACCCTGGGGTCCACACAGATAGGGAATCTGCAAATGCTTATGAAGTGAGGCAAACGAGAGGCTAGGTTGTGTGATAGGGGTGGGAAGCTAGGTTAATAATAACCACTAACAACCCTCACGGCTTAACAAGCATCAGATACTGGCCTAAGTGTTTTTCATAACTTAACCCCTTTAATCCTCAAAAACCTATGGGAAAACAGACTTAAATTAATTAACTTGTCCTTGGAATTTGAGACCCAACAAAACTAAGTTACTGAGGGATTCCAGGGTCTTAGCTGTAGAGAAGAGCTCACACGATGGGTCCAGATGAAAGCTCTGTGCAAGTCAAACTGGAAAATTTCATCAAGTCATCAGCCCTTACTTAGCTAGGGGAGAACAGATATGTATAGAGTATATAGGAATTATGCCGGGTGCCTCCCTTATAGTTATCTAATGCTTCCTTCACTCCAGTAAGGCAAGCATTAACCCTATTTTACAGATGAGAAAACTGGGGTTCCAAGAGAATAAGGCCCAGCTGTTGCTGGTAA